GTTTTAATTTGAAAGCTCACAGAGCGGTCAACTTTAATTAAAGATACGACAGCGCAGATATATGTATGTACATATGTATGTATACATACATAGATGGTCTCAGCACTGGGCTTAGACCAAATGGCTCTCTGGGCAGTTGGTCATAAATTTGTCGCGGGAATCGCCAGTCAAAACCGGGACAAAATTAATGGAGATAAAAGATTTAGATTGCGAGCTGACAGCCATCTATTGCATGGTCAACGTTTGCAACACCATTTAATGATAATTATTTGTTTCTTGGAAAATATTCAATGCATATACATACATAAGCATGTATGTATGTATGTATGTATGTATGTAGCTACGCAGTTGACAAAGAACAAATGCTTTAACAGCGATTTTAGAGCAATCCAAAGAAATACAAACAACGATCCGGTGCTCTGCGAAATTATTTATCACAGATATCGATATATCGATACGTGAAACTTTGACGAAAAGCTAACGCTTGCAATTCGGGGACTTCATAGAACTGCCAGTTTCGAATTGATTGCGAGCCTGACAAGAGGGTTAAATGATGTCTTATAGCCAGCCGTCAGATAAATTGTTGAATGCCTTCAGGGCAGGCTTTACGAACAGGAGTCTGGCAGCAACTAGCACTGAATTTGCCAGTTATCTGCATACGCTTGAATTGACAAGCGATAATGTCGCCAAAGTGCTCGAAACTTTGCTTGGCATGGAGGACATAGCCGAAATGCAACTGTATGCAAATCTAATGCAGTACAACTGCAACGTACACTATGATATGGCGCGTGAGGAATTCTTTATTCATTTGAGTTCGACGGGCATTACAAATACAGTCGAAGACGTTTTAAACCCTGGCATAGACGAGGTGGTGCTCGTGCCGAGGAAAAGTGCGATGGCTTCAACACTACCAGCAGAACGCATCTTCTGCTTAACTCCGCACAGGTTCGAGAATCTTCCTTGTGAATCAGAAAGAGATCATCGTCACGTTGGTAAAATTACGATGGTAAAAGACAAAAAAGCTTGGTTTACTTTGTGCAAAAAAAAAATCAAGAAAAATCTCGAAATAGAAACAGATATAAAACAAGAAAATAATATCCAAGCTCCGCTATATGTGATTGGTAGAAAGTTCGACATCATCTTTCGTTCTGCTCGAATACCATTTAATTTAAAATATAATGCCTTATCCGAGCTGGCTAAGTGCGATGCTACGCGTCGATACCTTTTTCCACAATCCAAATCCCAGAGCTTGCATCATCAAAAATCATTGGACGATCAATTTCAAACCAACTCTTTATTCAACGAATTGATAGAAAGAAACCCTGAACAGCTGCTAGCCGTACGTCAGATAATAGCTGGGCCTGACAGTAGAGCGCCCTACATTGTGTTTGGCCCTCCAGGTAAGTGACTGAAGTTCTCTGAACCGCTCCAACACCTTCTTAACAACACCTTCATTAAAGGTACTGGCAAAACCACAACAATTGTCGAGGCTATACTACAGCTATGTCTCCAGCATGACTCACATATTATTGTGACGTCTGGCTCGAACTCAGCCTGTGACACAATTGCTTTGAGAATATGCGAAACTCTTGAGAGCAAAAAATTTCGGACACTAGCCAAAGAAAAATCATTGCAAATGAAATTTGTACGCATTTACCCGAGTTCTTACAATAAGTGCATAGATCGGAAACTTAAAAAACATTTCAAATGTGTACGTGCAGCAGCCGATGAAAGGTTTGGAGATATCTTGAAGGGCTGTAAAATTGTTGTGGCTACATTATGCGGTGTTGCCCAAATGTATTTGTTGACTCAATACAAAGCCTTTTCTCATATTTTCATTGATGAGGCGGCCGCATCGATGGAGGCCGAGGCGTTGATGGGCATTGCAGGCGTTAAAAGAAGCAATTGCCATGTTATACTATCCGGAGACCCCAAGCAACTGGGTCCAGTCATAAAGAATAAACGTGCGGCATCGCTGGGTTTGGACAAATCCCTAATGGAGCGCCTGCTACACAACAAGCTGTACAAGGTGGACGACGATGGCAGCTACGATACCAGACTGCAGTTACGCTTACGGCGGAATTACAGATCCCATCCGGAGATCGTTGGCATCTACAACCAGCTTTATTACGATAATCAGCTAATACCCATGGCTCCGCTTCAGAAAGTTAACATTGCCGCCAACTGGGGTCTTTTGCCAAACGGAGAGTTTCCAATCCTATTCAATGCCACATACGGAAAGACTGAGCACAAGCACAATTCCACTAGCAGCTTCAATCTGCTGGAAGCAAAGGCGATCTATTGGTGTGTGAAGCGTCTTCTAACCGATGGCCTCGGTAATGATGTACGAGTGCAACCGGACGATATTGGTGTCATCACACCATATTTGGCTCAATGCAAATGCTTAAAAGATATGCTCAGATGGGACGTGGAGGTTGGAACTGTGGAGAGCTATCAGGGCCGTGAAAAGCCAATAATTATTGTATCATTAGTTAGCTCATTTATGCGTCCTTACTTTCTATCTAATCCCAGGCGCGTGAACGTATTGCTATCCCGTGCCAAGTGTCTGTTGATACTAATTGGCAATCCGGAGAGTTTGGGCCAAAATGAGGATTTTCAACACATCATCGATAAATGCAAGCTGCGTGGCACCTTTCTAAAAAACTTTCAAAAGGTCGAGCAGAAAATGCGACTTGGATCATATCATCATCCTAAAAGATCAGAAAGCCTATGTGGAAAGGTGCCAAAGGAAGAGGTGAAGGAAGCCGATGCAGCAGTGAGTAGCTCTTCCTCTGCCACTTCTACGGGCTACCTGGTAAACAAGTTAAAAGAACTTGATATATGGAAAAACGAAAACAAAACCGAAACATTTTTAATGCTACAAAAATAATAAGCAGCCATATTTTTATATTAACTACTGTATGGTACATACATATATGTATGTATGTACATACATATGCATAAATACTTCAACCAAACCATATACATATATACATACATACATACACATATGTACATATCCAATTTACATATGTATATTCATTTATATTCCATTGAAGCATTCAAATTGGTCAATATAATCTACTTAAGCATATTTTCCACAGAGTCAACCATTTCTCTGATTCTATTTTTTGCCATGCGTACTTTTTTTTTTTAACTAAATAAAGGCAGCCGTCTGTACGAGAAATAAACAATTTTTGATTATCAATTAATTACATTTCGACTACAATAACAAAAATGCAGTGCAGTGCAGCGTAGAGCGGCCTATCTTATCAGCTAACCTATTCGATACTACGTGCATTTCACAAAATAAAACGCAGCCGGCACACTTTCCATACTTTTTGATGATGGTGGTAAGACAGACTCGACAAAGGCTTTAAGTGTCAGCGGTAACCAAAATTGCTGCCACATCGGCTCTTTTCGTATACCTACATATGTATGTATTTACCTCTAATTTTGTTGCCCGTCCTTCCATGGTGAGTAAGTATTGTTTACTCGGGGCAAGTTTACTTCGCGTATCTTCATTGTTATTAAGGTTGCCAGTTCGGGTCGAAACAATTGTTTACATTATTGTGGTTTCTCCTCCACCATTTATGGTTTAAGATTTAGTTGTGTGCTGCGGTACGTTTGCCTGTTCGGTCACTCATTGAACGGTACATCAACGTGTGACTGATGGTTGTCTTCTGCAACTCCTTCCACAACTTTTCGATCAGGTGGGGTGCAGGTGTTAACAGATGTGCCCGTGGCTTTGGAGCTAGAGCTTTATTTCGACAATCTAAACATCAACCATTAATACTGGCTAGTGCATCAACTTAATGATACGCTTTTAATCTAGCGGCGTAAGCATTCATTCATTTCAAATATTCATTTTCATTCATAAATAACACATACATACATATACATAAGAATATATATACATACATACATCATTCATAAATAACATACATACATACATATACATAAGAATATATATACATATGTACATACATACGTAAGAATATTCACATTAAAATTATTTTGTAACAGTGTGCCCACATGCGTGCATTGCTAAAAGTACTAAAATACTATCGATATATCGACTACATAGATATTGACAGTTATATTGAGTTAATTTAAAAATTGATTTTAAAAGGGTATCCAATTCACATTTGTATTTCAAAAGAAGTGTCTTTTTCAGCGAATAATACAATACAATAAACCCAACTTGTTTTTCGCGTTGACCAGTGTGTTGAATATGAATGATGTCATGCGATGAAACCAAAATTACTATCGCTCTTTTTTATAATGCTTTCAAGTTGTTATGAGTATGCACACACATACAGATATGAATATACACATGTATGTAGGTGCATAGTACATGTACATGTGCATTGATAAACAAATAGTATAATTAAATTACAAGTCTGCCAATCCATAGATACCCTTACTTTTTAAACTGCGTAGAATATTGTTTGTACACATGTAGATAGTATATGTACAAACATACAGATATACATACATAAATATGTATGTACATATGCATATTAACAATAGCAAAAAAGCGTAAATTTGAAATTTAAATTAATAGGAATGGTTAACATTTAATAATTTTAAATGTTACGCTAATTTCATGTGCTCCACTATCCCTGCTCAGCTGCTCGAAGTACATACTATGTACATACATATGTATGTACATACATACATACATACATACATATTAAACGAATACTTGTAGAGTATTCGCCTAGAAACCGAGAGAGTAAGTAAAATGTACATAAATGCTGTTGAATGCAAACGTACGCTCACAACGTTTGTGTGTGTCCGTATAAATGTTTGTATGTATGCCTGAATCATCGCAGAGAACTTTGGGTTTTTGTGCTTCCCATTAAATTCAGTTGCAAATCGATCGCTGAGCGAGTCTGGAGTCGTTTAGCAGCTTTGCTTTTGCTAGTTTCAAATAAATTGTTGAACGAGAGGATAGTTATTTACGTACGTGGCATTCATTGTGCGCTGTTATATATTGCTGGAAACAAAATGATGAGTATAAGGAAGTATGAGCCCAGCCCTCAAATGCTGCGAGCCTTGGAGCTGGAATTTTCTGACGAAATTCTTGCGGAAATCGATGCAACTTTTGGCTCATATTTGACGACGCGTAAATTAAACTATGATAATGCAAGTTCGGTGCTTAAGATGTTAGTGACCATTGAGGATATAAGCACAACGCTGTTATATGCGAAGATTATGCAGTCGGATGTGCCAGTTCGATTCACTAAGACGGACAGATTATCCATCAAGCTAAAAGCGAAAGCAATAATGTTTGTACCCTTAGTGGACGAAGTTGTGCTGCTGCCCGTAGGCGATCTGTTGCCTTTTCCATCTCCAGCGGAACGTATTCTGAAAATCATTAATGAAAATCGCAGTCTTTTTGAAATTACGAATATCACCAAAGAATGCATTATGTTTGCTCCAAAATGGTTCTCAAAGGTTTCGCCAAAAGAGATTGGGAACAAAAATTTTGATGTGATTTTTCGATCGCCGCGAATTCCGGCTCGTGTAATGTACTTATCACTGAATCGACTTACTACCGACCCACATTTACGTCGCTACCTATTTCCACTCGAAAATACACCGAAAATAAGGAACAATTTGCTCAAATTGTCATTGATTAACTGTGACATTGAATCGAATCCAGAACAATTGGAAGCTGTTCAGCAGATTGTATCTGGGCCCAACCCGAACGTGCCTTACATTCTTTTTGGACCCCCAGGTAAGGGAGAGTGAAAGTTAATATGAAAAAGGAGCAACTGATTAAACAATCATAAACCGAATTTCAGGCACCGGAAAAACCACGACGATTGTGGAGGCTATTCTTCAATTGATACTTATGAAGAAGGCTCGTATCCTAGTATCCATAGGCTCGAATGCGGCTTGTGACATGATCACCCTGAAGTTAATCCACTATATAGAAAACGATCCACGATTTAAATCATTTTTGAAATCCGACAATCCGGTACTATTGCGCTTGATATCAGCCACACAATTTAGAAAGCACGCAATATCTATTCATCGCGATGTGATGAGGTATTCCAACTATGAATACAATAAGCAGAACAAGAGATATACGCGCCATGGATTGACAAAAGATGATTTAGAAAAGTATGGAATTATTGTGGCGACACTGTGCTACGCTGGCCTGCGAGCTGTACGGAGTCTTTCTAAATTTACCCACATTTTCATTGATGAGGCCGCATCCGTTTCAGAACCAGAGGTATTGCTGGCGATTGCGGGTATTAAAGATAAAGAATGCCATGTTATTCTCTCTGGGGATCACAAGCAATTGGGTCCGATTGTGAAAAGCAAACGCGCCAAAGTCCTTGGAATGGATCGCTCAGCTATGGAACGCCTGATTCTCCATAAAATGTACGAAGTAAACAATAATGGCAAATACGATCGAACGGTACAGTGTCGATTGCGACGTAGTTACAGAGCGCACCCGGAGATCGTCGAGCTTTACAATAAGCTCTTTTATGACGGCAATCTTATTCCAGTATCACCGAAAACACAGGTCGATTGGAGCATGCTGGCAGATAGAAAGTTTCCAATTTTATTTCAGGAAATACGTGGTGAAACGGAAATCGAAGCCAATTCCACTAGCAGCTTCAATATGCTGGAGGCGCAGATGGTCTTCTGGTATGTGATGCTGCTCCTGAGAGATGGAATTGGAGGCGTTAAAGTGGAGCAAGAGCATATTGGCATCATCACACCATATCTAGCTCAATTCCAGCTGCTAAAGCGTATGCTTCGTGCAACCAAACAGGAGAAAGTTGAAGTTGGCACCATGGAAAGATATCAGGGACGTGAAAAACGGATTATGATTGCCTCGTTGGTTAGTTCATATTCTGGGTCCAGTTTCCTATCCAATCCAGGCCGGATCAACGTGATGCTCTCCCGTGCGAAATCATTGCTTATATTAATTGGCAATCCGATCACTCTACGCAAAAATGACAATTTCAAGTACATCATCGATCAATGCATTGCGCACGGCAACCTACAGCAGAAGATAAACAAGACTAATGACGACAGCATTGTCCAGCTAATGAAGAACTTAAAACTGCAAGATATTCAAGATGAATACGAAGAAAGAGAAGAAATCTGCGTTTAATATGCGTTTCAGAAGCTGAGAACTTTATTTCTTTAATAATCCAGCAATGATTTAAGAAACTGTCAAATTTTATAGCCATTCAAACATTAAATTTATAAATAAAAAAAAAACTGAATAAAGATTTTAAATACGTTTTGCCTATTTTGATATGATATGATCTCGTGTTTCAATTGTACATTCTTAAACAAAAAATATGCTATAGAAATCTTTAAATATCTTTGATTCATTTCCATATTTATATTTCAACTCAATCTCTATCTATCTGCTCATCATTTTTATACAGCGTATCCCATATAATTTTATCTGCACAAATATTTTTTATACCCAACGCCATCCGGACAAATGGTGGATGTATGTATGTATACGTGTCTATGGATGTTTTGCCCAGCCCCTCTGAGTGCTTGCCATCTTCAGCTTCAGCCCCAGCTCCAGCTCCAGCTCCGAGACACCTAGCCTGGGCCTGGAACTTGGCCTGAGTCTGCGGTTTGCTGGGCGCGTTAGAAAATTTACATATGCACATAAATCTTGTTTAGGCTTTGACTTTGTTTGTCTCAATGTACGACTGCAGAGCGGGCAGCTGTGGCAGCAGGAAAAATGCTTCTAAATATTTGCTGATACTTATTTGGTGGCATAGAAAAAATAAACAGCAGCAGCAGCAGCAACAACAACAACAACGTGCTGCGACAGCAACAACTCAATAAACATCGCTGTGTCGTCGCTGACTCCAGCGCCGTCGAGGAAGTGTCAAAACTATGTTATGTATTTGTTTTTGTATTTACTCTCCACTGTGTGCATGTGTGGGTGTGTGTGTGTGTGTGTGTGTGTCTTGTGGCTCGTTTGTGGACGACAATACACTGATAGGTACTTTGACTTGGCCACGCTGCCCAGCGGCAATAACTTTGCCTCGTCTATGTATGCTAGGGCCAAAATGACAGTAGAGTGAACTAATTGGCACTTGGACTGGGCAGCGGTACAAAAGTATCTAACGGATAGCCAAACCAGCCGAACTATGAAAATAAAAAAGCAGAACTGTAATAAGTAAAATGTATCAGGGATATATCTCCAATGTATAGCAATTATATGTGTCTCCGATAGAATATGCGATTATAAATAATACACAATGTATCTCGGATTTCTTTTATTTATATATATACAATAGTAATAACTTTAACTGTCTTACTGTCAGACAATTCCCTGTACAGATATATTTAGATAACTTTTAAGTACATCGATCTTTAAGCATTTAGACTTATGTAAATGGCGATTTATTGAGGGTTAATCAGATTTTTGCCTTATATTAATAGCTATTCAGCATCGATTTCATACACCACTTGAGAGTGGCTAATTAAATACGTGCCTTCCAGCTAACTCAACGGCGATTCTATTTCAGCGCTGCCACGCCCTCAAGAGCGCACGCCTTCAACAATAATTTTAACCTGAAGCAGTGCGTTCGTTGCACATTCTTCATTTTATGTTCTGTGCCACAAACAGTTTTTCGCATGCTGCAATTGTTGCCAAGTACCGTTCGCCTCTCGTAAAGCGCTTGCCCCTCGCCCGTCTAGGTTAGAGGCATTCGATACCCTGTAGATGTGGCTAATGCCCATGCAGTTGGGTATTCTGGTTTTGCGAAAAGACCTGAAGTCGCGCAAGTATCAACTGAAAGGGTATCTGCTCGTCCTAACCACAGATCCATCGGACTTGCCGAGCTGCGAAGTTGGCATTTGCATATAGACAGACCCTCGCAACTGACTGACAGTTCAATTTATGCTTCCTCTCTCTGCGCCTTGAATGGACGGCCAGGCAGCCGCGATAAGGGCAAAGACGGCTGCGTCGTGTTTGGCTCGTTGGGCTGACTATAAAATGCACTTAATGCAGCGAGCAAGAAACAAAAAAGCGAATTCACGCTACACGGCCAGCTAAGAACTGCATTCAAAGTGAATATGCATCTTGCGGATATTTATTGGGCATATTAATGGAATGCTGGGACGCAAAACTTTTGGCGTTAAGTTCGCATCGATTTGGTGGAGCCTTAACGACTATATCCACATGATGTTTACAGTAGTTGATCTAAACAATAATTGATATTTTCTGTTCTTTCTTCTTGATTTTTTTTTCGCAATGTCAGCTAAGTTATGGCAAAGCTACGATGGCAGCGCTCTTATCACATTACAAATAAACATTTGACCATATATACATACATACATACATATGTATATGTATGTATCACATTATGATTATTTATTTTCCAAATGCATTTGATGCCAATCGAGCTTGCTTGAGTCTTCAATTTGTTGGTGTTCAGATTTAAATATTTACAGACATACATACATACATATATATATATATATATGTATATGGGTACCAGGAAATCAGACCAGTTTCAATGAATGTAGCAGGGAGAGACGAGGCAGCCCCTTCTCTCTATTTCTTTTTCTCTCTCACGATCTCTCTCTCTCTCTCTCTCTCTCTCTCTCTCTCTCTCTCTCTCTCTCTCTCTCTTCATCTGTGCCTATGTTTAGCAATATATATATTTAGGAACGAAACTGATTTTGAACAGATCCTAGTGAGAGACATCCCCAACTAGAGCTTTTTTGCATGTATATATGCATATGCTTATATATATATTAATAAATTAATGTTAAGCTCATGCAAGTATATACATCATTTCTTTTTATCACTACTTTAAACTCTATGTGGTTTACACAAATGTAAATTGTGTAATACTAAATTAAGCTACCACTAATTGTGGCAAGGTACATTTTTTATAAAATATACATAAATAAAAAAAAATAAAATAAAATAAAAAACTTTATGCAAATTACTTGCTTTGTTTAAGAATATTATGATATAAGATTATTCTAGCAATATAGTGCTTAAATTAGGATGTGATTATCTTAATATAATAATACGAAAAGCAATGCCGACATAGCCAAGCGGATATGGTATCAATTTTTATAGTTATAATGCAATTTTCATATATGTATATACATAAATATACACATACTCATTTCTCTTAGTACTCAATTATAGATTCATAAAATATCCAATTCCAGTTTAATGCTGATTAAAATTAATTTTGTTCTCTGTTCTCTTCCATTCACAGACCTGGATGCGGTCACTGTTCAACTGTTGGGCAGCAATCGGAACGAGCTGCTGCTCAAGTGCCATGTGGAGGGCGCCTCTGGCGATGAGCCGCTGCAGATCGAATGGTATCGAGACAGCGCCAAGCTGAGCAGCTGGCAGAATGTGGAGTTGCAGCAGCACCGCCTGCTCGTCCGCCAGCCAAGCAGCGCCGACGATGGACTCTATCGCTGCATTGCATCGAATGCGGCGGCTCGTGTGATGAGCAAACAGGGCTATGTGTATGAGCATCTGGCTAATGTGGCGCCTGGCTCCACCAAGTGCCTGCCCAAGCTGAAGAGGAACCAAAAGATGCCCGAGTCCTGGGGCAAGCAAGTGTTTCTGTGTCGCGGCAAGCGTGGCGGCTCCACAGGCATGGATCAATCGCAGTCACTGCCGCCGTCGCCCGAAGGGCTGCGCATTGTACAGGGCCCCAACGACAAGGTGATCATCAAGGAGGGCGAGCCGACCGCCCTCAGCTGCCTCTATGAGCTGCCTGCCGAGCTGCAAAATCAACGTATTCAGTTGCGCTGGCGCAAAGATGGCAAAATTCTGCGCCATGTGGAGCTGGGCGAAACAGTTATACCCGGTCTGGGGCTGGACCACGGCAAGGATGCATTGGTGCGCGAGGACGGACGCTTGGTGCTGCACAAGCAGAACGGCACGCTCAGCTTCAACAGCATCATTGCCAGCGATGCGGGCCAGTATATGTGCCAAATCCAGCTGGAGGGGCATGCGCCAGTCAACTCGGCACCCGGCGCGCTAGAGGTCATTGAGCAGCTCAAGTTCATGCCGCAGCCAACGTCAAAGAATCTGGAGTTGGGCGCCCTGGGCAAGCTGCACTGCAAGGCGCAGGGCACGCCCACGCCGCAGGTGCAATGGCTGAGGGTGAGTAAGGGATCAAAGGGTTGATTAAAGCATTTTCTTGCTAATCTGGGTAGAACGCTTCCTCCATTTATCATCCGACCGACTAATTTCAGTAATTGATATCTATACCCAAGCATAAACTGTGTACATATATCAAATCAAATTTAATGGCCAGAACTCGTTTATCTTTCTACCGTCTACCGATTAAGCAAATGTCACAAGTCAGTTACCCATCTCACTAAAAATTCCAGCTCCAAACTGCCTCTCGCTCCCGTCTAGCCATTCCCTCTCACCTGTCCAGCTGACAAATTGAAAAACGCAACGCGACGCTGTGTAAACTTTTCTTTCAACGAACATTTCATATGCAGCGACCCTATTGAGCAGTCCTGCTAGACTAGCTAACCCATCCATCCACTCCGGCCCAGCCCTCCAGTGCTCTTCTAATATTCGCTATTCGCGCGTTGTTTGCAGCTGTTGTGCGAGAACCAACCAATTTTGACAACTGTTTGTCCATTTGCCGGAACAAAAAAAAAACAAACAAAGTAAAAAAACTTTAGTCGAGACTGCTCGACTATGAGATACCCTTAACACATTGAGGAACTATAGCAAAAATCAAAATATTATAAAATACATGTATCAAATTTGAAGACTCTAGCTCTAAAGCTGTATGACATATAATTTTATAGCTTATTTTCGATAAGAGTTTTAACCAATAACAATTGGGATATTTAGTTTTCGGTATGGGGTATATATACATTTTATAACTAGTTTATAAAATGGGTTTTACTTTTATTTAGAAAGAACTGAGAGTAGGTATCGAGATTTTGAAACAAGCTCGTTTTGCGCGTGGAATATAAGGACTAACGCAACAAAGTTACCAATCTCTAGCTCATATATCTTCTGAGATCGACGCATTCAGACGCACAGGGCAATAGCGACCCAGCTCGTCAATAACATATATGAATATACTTAACGGGCTCTGCCATGCCTGTTACATACACCTGAACAAAACTATTATGCCCCGATTTTCCACTTCCAATAGGTTCAGGGTATAAACAAAAACGCTAGCAAAAAGTTAAAACGCCAACGATTTTTTCATTTGGCTAC